CTACTGCTACTACCACTATTACTACTTTACTACCACTCCTAAACCTTACAGCTAAGGGCTGAACCCTACCCTGCCTTTGTGGGCCTTTAGTACAGGACCGGAGAATTTCTCGTTTGGGAGCCTTGCTTGTTTGGGTGCTGGGGTTTCGTGCTTGGTTGGGCCTATCGGTTCGGAATCCTATACCCTATCCTGAATCTAGAAACCGACATTCCTGACCCTAAACCCTAAACCCGAACTCTAACCCTCAACGCCACACCCCGAAGCCCTCAGAACTCGCTGGAACTTTGAAGTTCAGGCTTTTGGGTCCGTAGCATCCCAGGCTCCCTCAACTTCTGGCCGTAGCTTCGGATTTTAGGACCTGGTCTGGGATTTCAAAGCTAATGTCTGCGTGCTGTCGTCGTTGCAGGAGTCATGGCAACTAGAAATAGCAGTAGCAGCAGCAAAGCCAGGAACAGGGGTAGCAATACTCCTGGCTCTTTTTTATCACTTCGCTCCTCGTCGTCGTGGTACTTCTGTCCGAAAGATGCTAAACTGCTTCCCAGATCAAATTGCAGCGTCGATGGACAAGAGTGCCAGAAGCTCAACGCACATGTCGCAGTTGCGGGCTTGTGATCGACCCGAAGCCCTAGCACCCGAGATCCTAAATTAGGGTTTAGGGTTTNNNTTTAGGGTTTAGAGTTTAGGGCTCTAACTCCTGAAGCCCCAAGCACTAAACACTATGAGGATCTTCGAGGCTTGGAACAGACGGCTGTGGTTGTCCGTCTAAGCAGTCGCAGGCAAATAGCTAAGCCCTTCCAGGAGTAGGGCTTAGAGCCTCTGAGGTCGGAGAGGTGTCTCCACAGCTTTGGGGGTTTACTTGGGCCTAGCGCTTGATTTTAGAGCAAGCCGTACTTGGCATCACCATCGCTGTTGCCATGACGGACTGTGATCTGCGATCGTCGTTCTCAGCAACATCGCTCTCGTGATTGCTTTCTCTGCTGTACCCGATGCTGCTGCCATCACCTTTGTATCCATGTTACCGTCGCACATCGCCGTCGTAGTGGTGCCAGTACGTTTAGAACGTGCGAGTTTGACATTTACCAGTATTGCAGCTGGCACTGCATCTAAG